GCAACATCAGCAGTTCAAACCCAGCAGCTGGTCTGGGGGAGAAAGATGAGGCTTTCTGCCTCATAAAGATTGACAGCCAGGAAAACCCACCGGGTACTTCTACTCTGTCCGGTAAATCAGAAGCGACCCTGACAGTGGGTTTTGGGTCTTTTGTGCAGAAGTGAGCAGTGGAGGTTCAGAGGTAGAGTTCTGGCTTTCCATCAAGGAACTCAGTTTGATTCCAGCCAATGCAGCTCATGGCCAGCTACCACCTGTCTCTCTGGGTTGCTACCCTCCACCCCCTGGACCAGATAACTCAGAATCTTGGCCTTGGATTTGCCCTTGACTACTTTTTGGGGAGAGTACATATTGCTATGTACTGCTATGATGCTCAAAAGGGGTCAGTGGAGTTTCCAGCCTAAGATGAACTAGGAAGGAAGACCCAGAGATCCACTTCCAAAATCAACTCTGGATCACGGTGGATCAGGGAGCAGAGTGGGAGCTGAGGCGAAACTAGAGAAGAGCTCCCAATGATGACACATGTGCTAGGAATTAGACTTGAGTTTTCCAGCTAAGAATTCCTTTGAGCCTCTCCCAAGCTCCCGCAGGTAGACAGCGCTTTTATTGTTAAGGACACTGAGGAGCAGACATCGTAGAGCTGTGTCCTTTATGCCCTGGGGAGCTTGCATACAGGGGAGCTTTCCAAAAAAGAAGGAGGGAAGGAAGAAAACGAAAATCATGGGGAAAATTGGGGCAGCTGTGACCTTACCTAAGTGAAATAAGATCAGGAATGCTTAGAGATATGCGATGTAAAGTGCTGAAGCAATCGTTTCATTTTTCTCTCTCTCTATCCTCTTATGCTTCTGGGAGTAAGTCCTTGGTGGTGCAGTGGTTGAAGTGCTCAGCCACTAACCAGAAAGCCAGGGATTCGAATCCACCAGTCGCTCTGTGGGAGAAGGTTGTGGCACTCTGCTTCTACAAAGACTTACAGCCTCGGAAAGCCTGTGGGACAAGGCTTTGTCCGACAGGACTGCCACAAGTCTGGTTGAACTAGCAGGGGGTGGGCTTCCTATGGATTCATGAAGGACAGACATTTAAGTCCATCCACTGCATCTTTGTCCTTCAAGAGAGGGGCAGGCACTCGCTGACCTCTAAGCTTTCCCTTGAAACCCCGACACTCGCCTCTCTTGAACTTGGGTGATAGAAGAGCTCTGTAATCAGTGGAAATGCCAGACTCAGAAGTCAGACACGGTTTCAGATTTTAAATGAGTACAAGAATCTTTCCTTTTCTTCTAATAAAACATGGATTTGCTACTCATGAAGAACAGGATAATCTGCCACGCCCCCTCAGAGGGTAGCATGTGACAGGGGATGCATCTTGTCATGAGGCCTTTTGGAGACCTTCGGTAACCCCAGGGACCACACAAGCACTCACCCCCAGGGGTTGGGGCATGGCCAGGACTCAGAGGTACACTCACCAGCAGTCTCAAGGGGCCGTTTCATAAGCCAGTCCCTCTGGGCAAGCTCACAGCCACATGCAAAGGAACAATTATTTTCACATATTACTTATGTGGGAAAATCTCAAAGCAGGAGAGCAGTTTCTTTGAAGTCTTTGTGAAAGATTCTCTCCAGAAGATGTCAAGACTCTCGAACATTTATATTCCAACCACCG